CTCGAACACTCTCGCTAACCGTCACACCTGAGTGAACAACAGGTAAAATGGTGAGAGCTGACCAAGTTCAGAAATAAGAACGAAGTTGTACTCAATAAAGACTATATACAAAGCAAATAACATCATAATATCATAAGTAAATACTTACCACGGACCTGTGTCCGTGTCAGTGTCAAGATAAAACTTGTATGGCTATTAACATATACTAGCTGCTCAAAAAAAAACGTGTCTGCAGCTACGTTTCTCTGCCGGGAATGACCAGGCCTCAATTGTTCTGGTCGGCTTAGCTATTTTGCAAGGACTTATGGGTAAAATAGGCATAGGGACAAAACGCGGGAAATACAAATCAAATGTACAAGCGCAATAGTGATTGTTACACACCTCCCCACTTAATAAAAAAAAATTGTTAACATTTTTTTTAAAACTACAATCACTACCAACTTGCCCTAACAATTTTGAAATAACTGAACGTATTTACAAAATTCTGAATACAAACCTGACTAATTTCTCCTTATCTGATTATTGGCGACTAAGGTAATCTGCACCAACGTTTTGGCTTCCCTTTATAGCTTCTATCCGGAACCGATAAGGTTGTAATTGTAGAGCCCAGCGCATTAACCTCGAGTTCTCTGTTTTGGACTTGTTAAGGTATGTTAATGGCTGATGGTCAGTCTCCAATACAAACTCACAATATAGATATTGATAGAACTTCTGAATTCCCCATACTTCTGCTAAGCATTCCTTTTCTATGACAGCATATGATCTCTCTCTGGGTTGCAGTTTTCTACTTGCGTAAGCTACTGGAAGCTTCTTTCCATGTTCTTCCTGCAATAGAACTGCTCCTACCCCGTCATCTGCAGCATCTGTTGGTAAGATAAATATTTCATTGAACTCTGGAAGTTTCAGAATTGGTTCTGAGGATAACATCTGTATCAGTGTATCGAATGAACGTTGCTGAATATCTGTCCAAACTACTTGGTTGGGTTGACCTTTCTTTGTTAAATCAGATAGTGGGACGGCAATCGCTGAAAAATTTGGTATGAATCTTCTGTAGAATCCTGCCAACGCCAAGAACGATCTAACCTTCTTCTTCGTCATGGGTACTGGAGCATTTTGAATAGCTTCTATCTTGTTTAAATCTGGTTTCAGTCTCTGGTCACCTACTATGTGTCCTAAACAGTCTATCTGATCATATCCTATGAAACACTTATTTAGACGGTCGCGCTGTAAGTCCTGCTTTCCTAAGTCTGGTGAATAACTCTTTCAGTGCCATCAGATGTTCCTCCCAAGTATCTGAGTACACGATGATATCGTCTATGAAGTTTTCAACCCCCAAAATACCGTGTAGAAGTTTCCTCATCAGTCGGCTAAACGTTGCCGGCGCATTCACTAATCCGAATGGCATAGTACGAAATTGATACAAACCAGACGATGTTGAAAAGGCTGTAAGAGCTTTACTATCTTCTTCCATAGGAACTTGCCAGTATCCTTTACTCAAATCCAATTTCGAAACAAACTTCTTGCCTGTCATCTTTGAAAATATACTCTCTGTGTTCGGCATGGGCTCGGCGTCAAAGACTGTAATAGAGTTTAGTCTACGAAAGTCTATGCAGAATCTGTTTGTTCCGACCTTTTTTTCTAGCTATGACTACCAGTGATGAATATGGTGAGACAGATGTTTCTATTACATTCAACTGTAACATCTTCTCCACTTCTTCCTTTATGATACCCTCGGTATTGAAAGGAATAGGATACTGCTTCACCCGTATTGGATTTGATGATGTCAGTTCAATCTTATGTTTAACTAGTGTAGTCATTCCTGGAACGTCAGTGCGAAACATCAGCATACGATTCGCACAAAGATTTCACCGATTCTAGTTTATCAGCTTCCAGTCCTTCATTGAAAAGTACATCTGACACTGTTTCTGTCTGAGTATCTGTGGGTAACATCATTGAATTCTGCTCAGCAAGTGTTCCCTCTTCACTGAAGTCAATAAGTGATATGGCGCAAGTTGTAAGAACTCCACAGTGTATTTCCACACGAGGAATGTACTGTTTCAACAAATTGGCGTGAAGTGTCTTTACTTTACTTCCCATCTCAACTTTGTAATCCATATCGCCAACTTTCTGCACAACTTTATATGGTCCTCGCCACTGCATCAAGAGTTTATTTGACTTTGTCGGAAGTAGAACAAGTACTTGGTCACCAACTGTCATCTTTCGATCCCTTGTTCTCTTATTGTAATGGTTTCTCTGATGCTTCCTTGCTTTTTCCAATTGTTGATGAGCAATCTTACATGTCTATTCAAGTTTCTCCTTTAAGTCTAGTATATATTGGTAAGTAGTCTTCACTTCACTGTCTGGTATGTCCTTGGTCCACAGTTCCTTGAGTATCATCATCGGACCACGCACCAATCGACCATAGAGTAGCTCAAAGGGTGAAAATCCAAGGCTCTCTTGAGGTATCTCTCGATAAGCGAAGAGTAGTGCGTTAGGTACCTATCCCAGTCCCTAGGGTGTTCAGCACACATGCGCTTGAGCATCTGCTTTAACGTACCGTTGAATTTTTCAACAAGGCCGTTGCACATCGGATGATACGGCGTTGTAGAAAGGCGTTTGAGTGACAGCAATCGGCTAACTTCCTTCATAACTTCAGATGTAAACTGCGATCCCTGGTCTGTAAGCATTTCCGATGGAACACCAACTCTGCTTAAAACGTCTTTAAGCGCCTCTGCAACTCGTTCTGTTTCGATTCCTTTAAGTGCCACAGCTTCTGGATACCTGGTCGCATAGTCTACGATAGTGAGGATATATCGATTCCCTCTGTCTGTAACTGGCTGAAGCGGACCAACAATATCCACAGCAATACGCTGAAATGGTTCTGATATCATGGGCATTTGTCCAAGAGGAACTGCAGGTACTCTTCCCTTAGGTATTGTCTGTTGGCTTACGTCACACAACCGACAAAATCGCCTGACAGCTGCTTGTACTCCTGGCCAAAAGAATTCTGCTAGTATTCTGTCTGAAGTCTTCTTAACACCCAAATGTCCTGCCATAATACATACATGAGCCATCTTCATAACCATTGGTCTATACTTCTTTGGAACCATAAGCTGTCGATACGTCTTTCCATTTGACATCTTTAGACTACTGAATTCTCTGTAGAGTAATTGCTTCCGTAGAAACATCCTGGTTGAACCTCCATCACCGAGCTCCTTTACTGTCCCTTGTTTAGCAATGTCCCAACTCTTGCTTAGCGAATCGTCTTTCGTCTGTTCACTTAACATCTCATCACGTGATACATCTTGTAAAGTTTCAGGAACCCTCAATGGTTTATAAGGCAACTGCTTCTTCTTAAGTTGACTGCGTGTCTCAACAGCAAATGAAGGTTTAGAAGTTTTCATCCAATGAATATCCGGATTATCTGGTTTCCGAACACCATCAAAATTCCCAAGAATCAGATCAAACATCGGTGTTTCAAAGCATGAGACTTCAATTGTTCCAGTAAAATACGGTGTGTCAACTTCAACTATCGCAACATCTGCATCTACTACACATCCGTCAGCAAGCATGCATTTGTGAGTTTTTCCAGTCAGTTGGTTTGACGTAACCAGACTTTTCCGAATCACCGCACCACGACATCCGGTATCTCATAACACTGTCACAAGTTTATCTCCAACACATCCTTTCACAACTGGCATCACTCCATCATCAACTGAATTAATGTCACTTTGCGGCTTATGTGCACCAACATGAGAAGAGTCGTGTTCTTTTCCTTGTGAAAAGCGACGTCCATTTTTGTTGAATCCCTGTTGTGGTTTCTGTGGTCTATCAGATTTTTCCTGTGTGTTTGTCTTATTTGCTGAGGACTTCCTCGAAGGGCAATCAAACTGCTTGTGTCCGTATTTTTCTCAATTAAAACACTTGATTTCACCATTGGTTTTGGTTCTTACACTAGAACTTGGAAAAGATAACTGCTTTCCAAAGGAAACTTTCTAAAATTATTTGCAAAAATAATAATAATAATAACAAAGATCTCACACAAACTACCTCACACAAATCCACACCCTCTTTCTCACTATTAAACAATTAAACATAGAAAACAAAGAAAAAAACAATTGGTAATCAACAATTACCCAATTAACAAATTCATTAATCAGCCAATCACCCTGGGTATCTAATTCAGTTATTAATGCCAAACATGTTCACAGATTATAGATTATCCTCGTCATCATCACGATCATCATCATCAACCTCATCCTCGATGCAGGAATGAAATCAAAAGTTTGCCTTTTCTTGTAAATCTATAACTCAAAGTTTCATGGATAAACTTATCTGTTATCCGTTCACCAACAAATATTTGGATCCACGCACAGCACTCTTCCGGGCGTTAGTCCCTGGAACATTTCGCCGTCACAATGATCCCCTCAGCTCAGTCTATGTATCAAGCACAGGCCATACCAATATCCATGACGCTACAATGATGCATATTAATAAGTCACATGTTTCACTACACATGTTTGGCAATACCACTATATATACTGAAAGGAAAAAGAAACACAGGGTAGCATAATTTTCGATAAAAATTTGACCACATGACCGAAAATTACGAAAATTGGTCAGAAGGGAAATTTAGTTACTGTGCATCAAAATCAGTATTCAGAATTACTCAACCGTAAAATTTATGACGTCACGTAGGGAAAACGCAAAAAAACCCCAAAACACGTGCAATTTGATAACGACGAGTTTGTCAACAAATCTTGTTGCATTAATTGATGCATATGAGGTATGCACATCGTTTTTCAATATTAAGAGACATCATGAATTTATTGCAATCTTGGCAGAGTTTACGGAAGTTCAATGGGGTCTTGTTTTCGAATTGCCTAATTAATGAAATAGGCAACAAGGGTTTACTAAGCAGTCTTTTGTACATTTTTCCCCATAAAACTTGTTACCCGTTGTCAGAGAGTGTCTTGACTGGTTTTCAATCAACCGTGACGATGACGGTAACGCGAAACAGAGTCATGTTACGAGCTATAGAGTAGATGATTATAATCATTACGCTCATACGAAATTTGAAAGAAAACAATTCTGCAATTTGGTTTTTTGAGCCAGTCAACTTACGGTTGTATTCCTCTCACAGGCGACTGCGCGCGCCGTTTGACTTATTTTTTTGCGTGGTTACCCATGCTAAATATAGCCAGTATTTGAAAGATAAACACTCTGATGAAATTCCATGCAAAGGAGAAATAAGACTCTGACAAATGCACGAAATAGACATTGAAGATGATGAGAGTTTTCGATTTTCACTTTAGGGGGGTATCGTCATATGAACTTTAATAACTTATGAATAATTAGACAAAATCATATGAGAATTTGGTTATATCTTTCTGAAAGATGATTTAAAAGGGTAGATAGGATAACTAAAAATTATTTTAAGAAAAACAAATTTAATTCACCTCAAAAGTTTACCCTGCGTTTCTTTTTCCTTTCAGTATATGTTTGGCTATTCATTTTCAATATAAAAAATAATCAAAACAGTACTAAGTATAATGGTTACCAGTTAACATAAGTCAAAACAAATTACTGCCAATATGGCGCACCTTACTTTCAACCTCCGGTCATTCACTTCCGCCCAGACATTTAAACCAAAATTTTAAATGGACAAAATTTTCTACACAAAGTAACAAAACTGAGTACAAGAAAATAGCGAACATTTAACAATGAGAACTTTAAACGTTATCGATATAATACAACAGCCACTCGAACACTCTCGCTAACCGTCGCACCTGAGTGAACAACGGGTAAAATGGTGAGAGCTGGCCAAGTTCAGAAATAAGAACGAAGTTGTACTCAATAATAAAGAACAAGATAGGGTAACAGCCGATTCTGGCCCCTTATTTTATATAAAAATCAGAACACAGGTAAAATTGTAATAGTTTGTAGTTAAGAAGTTAAAATGATGCTTACTTTAAGACAAGCACTAATTCTGATTCAAAGCTTACATGGAAGCCACTAGAGGGTGCAGAAATAGTACATTTTCCCGAATTTCCTCAATTCTGGTAAAATTTCATCATATTTAGGATATATTTCTTTACTGAAAACATAGAGCACAAGCTTGCCTATCTGAGATTTTTACACATAAACTGCCTCTGATATCAATGTATAAAATATATAAATTTTGTAGATAGGCAAGCGTGTGCTCTATGATTTCCGAAAGAAAATATGCTGCAAAATTAATGAAAATTTGCTTAAAAAGGAGAAATTTGGAAAATTGGCCCATTTCTTGACCTAATTGTGACCTCTGTATAATCTTAAAACCAACAATTATTTTGTGGCAGAGGTGACAACAGGTTTTTATGGATAAACTGTTGGATCATTCTGAAAGACACCCAAAACCGGGGGCCAAATACTGGTCTTACCCTATCTTGGCCTTTGTCTTTTAAATAAAAACTATATACAAAGCAAATAATATCATAAGTAAATACTTACCACGGACCTGTCTCCGTGCCAGTGTCAAAATATTGCATGTACTGCTGCTATGTAAATATACTAGCTGCTTCGAAAATAGAATACGTGTCTGCAGCTACGTTTCTCTGCCGGGAATGACCAGGCCTCAATTGTTCTTGTCGGCTAAGCTATTTTTCAAGGACTTATGGGTATAATAAGCATAGGGACAAAACGCGGGAAATACAAATAAATGTACAAGTGCAATAGTGATTGTTACACATTCGGCAATTGTAATCAATGCTCTACACACATGCATTCTCTTTATTATTTGACTAACTAGCAACAGAACAAATGCAATTGTCCTTAAATTAGTTATGAAAAGAATCATTCATAAGTTAGATATTTAAGAGCATATAATATTCTGCATATCATATTTAAGTAAAACCAAATATGTAAAAGTATATTATGTTTTAAAGTCATTTTTATCTATAAAAAATAAGATGTTTTTAGAGAGTATATATCCAGGTGTTCCGTGATTAAGAATTATTAAACGAAAAAAGAAACTGTACAATAAGTACGGATGATCTTATTCAATTTATATAGGGTCTACCGAATATTTGTTTCATACTTTAAAAATAATATCTTGGGAACTGTAATTGAAACCGCAATTCATTCTTGCAAAGTCACTGAAATGTTTAAAAAATGATCTTCACTAAATATTTACAATTTGCGTGTGAAACCTCAGGACAGCATTATCTGATAATGATAAGGTGTATTTACGTTTTCATTTTATATATTCTTTTTATTCTTACCATGAAAACCACCTTTACCAATTAGCAAGGTCCAGATTATTCTCTGGATTATTTTTGTACCGATACAACGTCATCTATGAATACTCGTACAAACGATAAATAAAAGTAACAAAGCCTACTATAAAGCAGCTAGATTTCATACAGTTATAATATTTTCACTTACAATGCTTTTCTTAAATGACACATCAGTAAGATTTTGAACTATATTTTCTTAATTACTGTAATTGAAGTTTCAATATGTAAAAGATTCGTGTGCCAAATTAATAATCCGTTTGCATTTCCTAATCCAATTGGAGTTTGATTAGTCTTTTTTTCATGAAAGAAAAAAACAATGATGTTTATTATCATTGGATGTTACAATCATGACCCATACTGTTTTGAATCTGTGTTGCAATGTAGGTTTGGTAAATAAAAGAAATGAAATGTATTTTATTTCGTGAATGCATTGTCGGGATTAGATATCGTATATTGATTTGTTAAGAAAAAGTTCATTAAATATGTTTTTTTTCTGTAAAAAATGAAAAAATCTTCAAAAAAATATGACTAAAAATGATTTTGCTAAATTAATGTTTGAAACTTCAAATATAACAGTAATGGATAATGCAAGTTATATGTCATTTCTTATTTGCCTATCTAATGCTGTTGCGTGTTCTGAGAAAGGGTTCTTTGACAATTGTTAAGTATTAAAGTGCATTCTTTATCAACTAGACTCTACGCAGTAAATCGAATATTATCTACTGTATTTAAATAATGATATTAGCATATTCCACAAAAGTACCATCTGGTAGTATTGTGTAAAATAACACCGTCAACGACATTTGAACTAGAAAACTTTTTACTTATATTAATGGAAAGAAAGTGATTTTGTCTGGTGACATTTTTGAAGGACTTTTCGTAAATGGTGTGTTGTTTGTTGTCTGCTTAACTATTGTACCTTGCAATTGTTCACTCTGGAATGAATAGAAAGTATCAAAGATATTTATTGCAGGATATCTCTTTTCTCTCAAGAACAAAAGGACATAATTTAGTTAAATGTATATGTTATCGTTCTTTACGGCGCCGCTGGAGGGCCAGGCAAAAAAATATTCTTATTTTTTCGGACAAATTAGAAATTCGTTCGAACGAATAGGTTATTTGTTCGGACGAATAAGATATTTATTCCGACAAATTAGAAATTCGTTCGGACAAATTACAAATTTGTTCCGACAACTAAATTATTTGTACTGACAAATTAGAAATTCGTTCGGATGAACAAGTTATTTGTTCGGACGAATTAGATATTCGTTTGGACGAATTAGTTATTTGTTTGAACGAATTAGATATTTGTTTGGACAAATGAGAAATTCGTTTGGACGGATTAGATTTTTGTTCGGACAAATTAAATGTGTGCACAAAATAGCTCGTATAGAGTGATATACAATTTGTCTATTCAGGAGGATTCATCCTTTTTTAATACATAAATAGCTCTTTGGACCATGACAATTGGTATGGGAAAAAATGGCATTGAAAAAGTAAGCCTCACCCACCCACCCACCCCCCGAAATAGGACTGTCAACTTTGGGCAACTTTTCCTGTGCCCCCCCCCCCTTTGTTTTTTGCTTGTCAACTTTTCAGGCAAGTATTTTTTTCTCAGTCCCCTTTCAAAAACGATGCTACGTGGCTATATTGTATTATATTGGATAAACTTCGGACTCAAATTATCGAGCCTCTTATTCGATAGTTCTTAATTTTTTTAAGGTGGGGCTTACTAGCTAGGACATTTGTAGTTTTGATTCTATACCGCTGTTCCCACATTTAAGTATTTTGTGATGAAGGAACAAAACGAGGGAATCTCATAAGTCCATCTCCAATGGATTCTTTCTAAGATCGTTAAAAACTATTATAAGAAATGCTGAAAGTGAAATTAAATAGTTTGTTCGACTACATGTACCCCTTCAATAAGGGGAGGGGTTATAATTATGCTCTGTAAATCAATGTACTAGGGAATATACCAGATTGACCGGTTGACATCTTAAGGTAGGACAAAACACCCGTGGATTCTATTTTGACCCATTTCTTAAAAAAGTACTGGAGGAAAAAAGAGTAATATTACTATACTGACAACAATGAATGATCCATGAAAGAAAAATAATAAGTTTTGGCAAATTTGCGTTATTTTTTGTGAAAAAATCAGAGAATCCTATATATTGGTCATTTGGGAGCTTACATTTTGGAATGTGTTTACGCTATCTAAGTGCAATAAACAAGCATGTAACAGTCTGTTATAAAATGCAGTGCAATTTTGTCCCATAAATAGTAGAGGGCTGATATTTGGACGCATATATAAGGAGTCTCAATTCTTTGTGTACTACAAAGGTCAAGGTCATATCAAGAGGTCAAAGGTCAAATATTGTGACGTCATCTACTGAATATTTAATTTTTTTGCCATTGAATTTTTTTTAAATCATCAAAATACCTAAAACCACCGGTTCAATTTTCTTTATTTTTACCCATTTTATTCTAGGACCCATTTGAATCATTCTGTTAATTTTTTGTAAAAATTGAATGATATATTTTCTCTTGCGAAAACTTAAATTGTCGGATATTTACATGTGATTTTTCAGTTTCTGACACAATGTATGTTCTCTTTTACTTAATATTTTACCCAAATTTTCCCGTATCAATGTGACTTACTGATTTAAAGTAACAAAAAGGTCATCTTTATTAAAAGTATTACACAAATTTGCAATGGATCAATAGAGAATTCTAAAATAAGGCTCATTCTCAAGTCGAATGTCTG